CTCAGCCTCCAGGCGCGCGGCCTCAGGCGCCGGTGTTCAGGGGCGGTCCTTGCCAGCCTGAGGGGCGGCGGTAGCTGTGTCTGTGGAGGAGCGACGTCTGTAACGAGGTCTTTTAAACAAAATCTGCTGCTTTAAAGCAGAAACCGAGCGGGTGAGGACGTAAAGCGTGGCATGGAAAGTAGGGTTTTCTTCTGTTGAATCTTGTTATGCTGGAGTTTGAGACTACCGAGCTCTTCCTGCTAACAACAGGACGGGCTAGTTCTACAAAGTTGTTGCTTTTCATGGGCGCATGTAACTGCCCGGAGTGGAAGCGCTGTGAGTGCCCAACACCGAATGGGCTGAGAGAAAAAGGTGCCTTTTCGTAGGGACCTCTTAACCTTGGTCCCAGGGCCGTGCGCAGTGGCAGAGGTCGAAGTGGGCGGATCTCTTGAGCCCACGAGTTCGAGACCAGCCGGGGCAACAGCGAGACGCCCGTCTCTGCTAAAAATAAAAAAATTAGCCAGGCGGGGTGGTGCGCTCCTGTTGTCCCAGCTCCTCGGGAGGCTGAGGTGGGAGGATCGCTTGAGCCCAGGAGGTCGAGGCTGCAGTGAGCCATGATCGCGCCACTGCCCTCCAGCCTGTCTCGAAAAAAGAAAGAAAGAGAAAATGGGTCCTTAAGTTACCTTTGATTGTCGTGAATAAAAATTTGGTCTCAGTGAGTTTTGCAATTGATTATGAGAGAATGGGTGTTCGTGTGTGACAGCGACTGACTCCTGGTTTCTCCTCCACTTTACCTGCCGCTCCGCAGCAAGTTTTCTTCTGCTGGTGCCACTTTCTCTGCTTGACCTTCAAGGATGGCATCCTCCAAGTAATGACGATTCTCATTCCCTATCTACACTCATTCTGTGGTCTTTGCTGAATTCTTGGTTTTAAATATCCCTGTGCTCCCACCCCTCCCCCCCCCCTTTCACTAATTCATGTTTTCAGCAGTGAGCTCAGGATCTGTAATCCACGCACCTGCTTGATTTCTCCAGCCGCATGTCTAATAGTCACGTCAAACTTGCCCTGCTCCTCAAACCTGTTCTTCTTCCAGTCCTTCCTCCTTATTTGTGGTCCCATCTTGCAGGGCCTCTCATGCTTGAAACCTGTGACCATCTTCGATTCTTCCCTTTCTTTTGTCCGGTAATCTGTCCAGCAGCAGCCATTGACTCTGCGGCCAAAGCATCTTGATCTCACCTTGCTCCCCATCTCTTCTGACGATGTTCTCTCTCACTTGGGTGTCTCCCTAATGGACCTGCTGCTCAGCTCTCACCACCCTGCATTCATCCCATTTTCAGCCAAGAGACCAAAGTTTTTTAATTTATTGAAACGCTTCAGCAGTACTTTGTATAAAGTAGCATCGTATAACATATGTATCAGTGACAAAACAGAAAGACCGAGTGGACTGTGGCATGCCCCTGCCTGTCTCAGGTACCTGCTCATTCTCCCATAGCTGCAACAACTGCCTCGGGCTTCAGCCATTTGCCCCTCCCACAGATAACCCCCTCCTGAGTGTCAGCTTTCATGCCCTTATTTTAAAAAACAAAATAGGTTTGCCACATATATGTTGCTAAAGCACATATCATGTATTTTGTCTTCTTGTTCCTAATAAAACTCAGGCCACATTTTGCCTCTCCCTCATCTCTCTTTTTTCATTCAGATTGTTTTATGAGAGTCATCCATGTGACTTTGTGTGATGTTCATTTATTTTAACTGTTTTATGAAATTCTCTTGTGTGAATACATGACCACTGTCCCTTCTCAGCAATGCTGAAATCTAAACATCTCTAAAACCAAAGTTTCTGGTTTTGTTTTTAACCTGTTTGGTGGCCAAAACCTCACCAGGTGAAGTTTAATAGCCTCTACTACTTAGTATGGATACTTAACACATTACACTGAAGAAATAATGTCTGATGATGGGGAGCTCCCCCAAACTCCAGTGAGGCTGTTATATGGTAAATTGTGCCAAATAATCGTTGTACATTGAAGAATTCTGAATTCCAAAACCCATCTGCCCAAGGGTTTTAAACACACAGTTGTTCTGTGTGCCACAGTCCCTTGGTCCATGCTGCTGTTGAAGGAACGCTCAGGTGGGTGACTTCCACATTTCTGCTGCTTTGAACAGTGCTTCTATGAACACCGTTGTCTGTGTTTGGTGCATCCTGATGAGTTTTTCTAGAATATAAATGTATTAAAAGTAGAATTCCTGGGTTGTGAGGAGCACACATATTCAGCTTCATAAGGAATGCCAGATTGTTTTCGTAGTATAGTCCATTCTCCTGATACCGCAGTAGAAAAGTTCAAGTGAACAACTTCTTTGCTAAGCACTGGCGTTCTCAGTCTGGTAGGTGTCCCATGGCAGCGTTCTCTTTCAGTGCATGCTCAGTGTGGGATTCTCTAGCTCACAGCTCTCCAGTGCTACCCTTTGCACCTGGAGGAGCATCTAAACCCCTCCCTCAGCTGTTATTTTTTTCCTGTAGAAATAAATCAGAATGAGTTATGCAGAAAAACCCGATGAAATCACGAAAGATGAGTGGATGGAAAAGCTCAATAACTTGCACGTCCAGAGAGCAGACATGAACCGCCTCATCATGAACTACCTGGTCACAGGTAATGGCTTACAGCAAGGATGTTGTTGCGCGAATGTGATTCTCCCTTTTTGAACACATAAGGAGTGCTGTAGCTGTGAGGTTTGATGACGTAGTTATTTGTGTTCAGACATTATAAAAACACAATGCTAACCTGATAAGTTTGTAAATTATCATGTGAAAGATAACCTTTTCTGAAGATGAGATTATTCCAGGTCTCTGAGCCCTAACACAAACCCATTTCTCAGCCTTTGACAGTTTTACAGTTAGTCAAGATAACTGAGACTGTTGTGAAGTAAGTATATTTAAAGCCAAATTGTTGATCTCCTCTGGCCAGTCTGCTTGAGTATGGTGGCCTGTTTCCAGAAGGTATGCCCAACTCAGGACGAGAATGGGGAAGGGCAGAAGTGTGCAGAGGGAAATAACACTCAGGCTGTTCTTGATGTCGGCTGGAGGAAGGGCAGTGCTTTATATGGCGAGAAAATAGATGTTTTTAAAAGGCATGACATGAAAAATCTCCCTCCTGTTAGTCCCCATTTCGTACTCCCAAATTAATCTCTGTGAAAATTTTTTAGGCCAAACATGGTGGCTCATGCTCGTAATCCCAGCACTTTGAGAGACAGAGGAAGATTACTTGAGCCTAGAAGTTGGAGATCAGCCTGGGCAACATAGTAAGACCTTGTCTCTACAAAAACAATTTTTTAATTAGCTGGGTATGGTGGCTTGTGCCTGTAGTCCCAGCTACTTGGGAGGCTGAGGTGGGAGGATCACTGAAGCCCGGGAGGTGGAGGTTGCAGTGAGCCAAGACTGTGTCACCGCCGTCCAGCCTGGGAGAGTGAGTGGGACCCCATCTCAAAAAAAAATATTTTTGGAAGGTGATGAGGAAATTTAGGCCTATAATTATGTCGGGGGCAGGGGAAGGGGCACACATGCTAGCTTTAAAAAATTGTAGACACTCTTAAGAGGTGGGAGTCACCAGGCCACTGCAGGTGGAGCTGGCCATGGAGGGCTCCTGTGCTGTGGAGGCTGAGCCGGCTGTGGAGGCTGAGCCGGCTGTGGAGGCTGAGCCAGTGTGACTTGCCTAATGTGGCACCAGAGCTGCAGCTGCTGGCATCTGGACCTATTATCTGTCCTCTCAAAGGAGCCCACACCAACACACTAGGCCAGCAGCCATTCTGACCCGTTTGCTAACAGGTTAGAGTTTTTGGATGGGATAACAAAGTATATTCTTCTCATTTTCTGTATGTATTTTGAGAGCATGACTTGTAAATTACAAAGATATTAATACCGGGTTCCTGAGAAAGTGTGGTTCACATTAGAGGTGATTAATTGAGGCAGTTGGAGTTTCTGGAGATACAAAATCTTTGCCTTAATTCCTTGCTCACTTTCCTAGCAGTGAAGATGGTTTTTCTTTTCAGAGGGCTTTAAGGAAGCAGCGGAGAAGTTTCGAATGGAATCTGGGATCGAACCTAGTGTGGATCTGGAAACGCTTGATGAACGAATCAAGATCCGGGAGATGATACTGAAAGGTCAGATTCAGGAGGCCATCGCCTTGATCAACAGCCTCCACCCAGAGCTCTTGGACACAAACCGGTATCTTTACTTCCATTTGCAGGTAAGTTTCAGGAACGAGCAATCTGGTTTGTGGGTACTTGATAAGTTAAAGTTATTTGCAATGATCGCGAAATAACTAGGCTAGTTTGCTTTAATGTTATTTTAATGCATGTGCGGGGGAGGGGTTTGAGTTTGCTCTTTTATGTAGTTCAGAAGCTATTTTTTGTTTTAAAAATGCGAATTTGATGACTCAGAGATGCAAGAGAAGTCTTCCCTCTGTGATGTACTTTTGGTGGGGACCCTGGTACCGCCTGCCCTGAGTCCCTGTCTTGGGTGTGTGTGGGTCAAGCTTGTCTGTCTCTGCCTCCAGCAACAGCATTTGATCGAGCTGATCCGCCAGCGGGAGACAGAGGCGGCGCTGGAGTTTGCGCAGACTCAGCTGGCGGAGCAGGGCGAGGAGAGCCGAGAGTGCCTCACAGAGATGGAGCGTACGCTGGCACTGCTGGCCTTTGACAGTCCCGAGGAGTCGCCCTTCGGAGACCTCCTCCACACCATGCAGAGGCAGAAGGTGGGGCCCACCAGAGGGAAGCTTTCTTCCACTCCCAGCGTGCTCCGAGGGGGCTTCGCAAAGACACCAAGTGTGTGGCTTTGTGGTGTGGACTGAGAGGTGGCTTCTGTGCCTGGGATGCTAAGTGGTTCCCTCGTGACTTTTTTTTGGAGATGAAGTCTTGCTCTGTCGCCCAGGCTGGAGTGCAGTGACGAGATCTCGGTTCACTGCAACCCCCGCCTCCTGTGTTCAAGCGATTCTCCTGCCTCTACCTCCCTAGTAACTGAACTACAGGAGTGTGCCACCAAGCCCAGCTAATTTTTGTATTTTTAGTAGAGACGGGGTTTCACCATATTGGCCAGGCTGCTCTCAAACTCCTGACCTCAGGTGATCCAGCCTCCCAGAGTGCTGAGATTACAGGTGTGAGCCACTGTGCCTGGCCCGTCTCTGGCTTTTAATCTTTTGTCAAACTAGGGGCAACAGCCTTGGTGTCCGTTGCAGAGTATTCACACCCTTTGCTGATTTATCATGTTTATCTGAACCTTCTTCCTGTTTAGGTCCCAAGTATTTTTCATTTAAAATCCTGTTTTCTGAAACTTTTCTCTCCTCACTGCTGTTTTTGTCTGGCAGAACATGACAGCTCCTCACCTTCCCAGACCCAGGTCCCTCTTCCCCCAGGTCCTCTCCTAGGGCTCTGTCCTCCCTACACTGTCTTGGAAGGATGGCCTGTCCTAGAGTCCACTTGAGATGTTTTCTTGAGGCTTGTGAGGAGGGTGCTGGTATGTCCTGCTACGCTGGTCTTGCCTCTCCACAGTCCCCTCAGCACTTTGTTCAAGCCTTGCTCGTGGCACTTAACTGCCATCGAGGCTGGATGTGACATTTGCTGACCAGACTGTGAGCTTCCCCAGGCAAGGACTATGTGTTTCATGTCCCGAGAGCGTCTTGCAGTTAAGGGCTTAATCTTTGTTTAAACTGCATATTTTTAATAGACTCTACTGGTGCTCTGCGTGTGTGGTGGTTTTTATCTGATGTATTTACATTCTAGGTGTGGAGTGAAGTTAACCAAGCTGTCCTAGATTATGAAAATCGCGAGTCAACACCCAAACTGGCAAAATTACTGAAACTACTACTTTGGGCTCAGAACGAGCTGGACCAGAAGAAAGTAAAATATCCCAAAATGACAGACCTCAGCAAGGGCGTGATCGAGGAACCCAAGTAACGCCTGCGCTTGTGTGGTGGACCCAGCACCACCCCTGCGTCGTGGGACTTGCCTCAGATCAGCCTGCGACTGCAAGATTCTCACTGCAGTAGAGAACTCTTTTTCTCCCTTGTACTTTTTTTTGACCTGGCATCTTTTTTATAGGGAAAAATGGCCTTTGTAGGCAGTGGAAAACTTGCAAGGAAAGCTGCCGTCTCTTTGGCAGTCTGATGCAGAGCCTGCACTCTGGCACTCGCTGAAGAATCTGGAAGGCTGCGGTTTGCTCTTCCAGCGTTCCGGGGCCCTCTGACTGCTGAAGGATTTGGTTGGCCACGGAGGGCTGTGCTGTTAGGCTGCATCCCACTCAAAGTACAGGAAAAGCACGAATCATGATTCTGCTTTCTGTTAGCTTAGGCAGACATTGGGCCTTCACCTACAAGTTTTTCCTTACCCCAGTGGTTTTTTGTGTGTTTTTTTTTCTTCCATAGGAAAGAATATATAAATTTGTAAATCCTAATTCAAAGACGGCGTGTGTGTGAGGGCATTGAGTTTGATTTGTTTTCCCTTTGGTCTGGGTTGTGTGGCTTTTGGGAGATGCGTGTGAGGGGCTATGTGTTTTTTAATTTTTTAAATATATATTTTGGTGCTGTGTATGGTGAAAGACTTGTTCATAGTGGATCAATGAACCATCTCTTCTGGGCAGTTTTGTTGAAAATAAAGGTTTCTCTTTGATTTCAAGAATGACCAAAATGGCCTCTAAAAGGTGTTAATCATCTCAAATGACCTTTTGTCTTTGGGGCATTCTTCCCCTGTGTTAGTGGCAGTGGCTTTTTCTGGTACCTGCAGCTAGAAAGGCCACTTGGCCCTGTGCTGAGGGAGCAGCCTTCATTAGAACGAGGCAGCCCTTGGGCAGTGGGGACGCAGGGCCCCAGCTGGTGTGTGCGACTCTTGGCAGAAGGAACGCGTGTTCAGCCTCAGTGATCTGCCCTTCAGCATCTCGGCAGCATCTCATCTTCCATTGTCAGCCGGCTCTGTGGATGTCCTGCTTCTGTTCACTCACAGAACTGTCCCCTGCTCCATGGTGGGCAGGAGGGAAGTGGTGCAGGGCCGTGTGCATTGCCTGCGAGTCGGGACAGTTGATGGGCACCTGGCCATGTAGCTCTGGGCGCAGATGTGTTTGGATTCGTTGCAGCGGACCACGGGCACTGCTGACCCCACTGAGCAGTGCTAAGTGTTGGTTTTGTGGATGTTCATGGAATTGCTGACCCATCCAAGGGCGTCCTTTGGAGCCAGTGGAGCCTGCAGGTGCATCTGAGGGGCGAAATGCTGCTAGCACTGGAATCTGGGATCTTGCCTTATTTTCAAGGAGCAAGGCATCTTGACAAGCACAGTCTGGGTGTGGTAGCCAGCTGGCCAGTGCCTGAGCCGGTCAGGTCATCTGCCTCTGAGGAACCATCCTCACTGAGCTCCTGCATCCCTTGAGTGTTGATCACGAGGTGTCCATAGCATTGTTCTCATCTCTGAATGATGCTTCCTTCTCCATTGAAGCCTGTCGAAGTTGTGTTTTCAAGCCCTCTACTTCTCTTTCCAGTAGGTGGGAGCTTTTGGCCGTGTTTACTTTTACCTAGATGGCTTGTGTAGTCCAGTAAGAGATGCAAAGGTAAAATTGCTGCAGTTGTTACAGAAACTTGGTGGCCTCCAGACCGACTCATTGGCTGCCCTTTGGATTTTGTGAGGATGCAGTACTGGGGAGGTGGTGCTTCCCTACCCCCTAGAAATGCTGCCTTCCAGCTACCGCTCTCCCAGATGTGACCTTTGCAATTATTTGCTCTGAGGTTTGAGGATGAAGAGAAGTTGGAGAGAAAGAGAGTAACTAATAGGTGATGAAATATAGCGGAAGCTAGAAGAAAACTGTTAGGTGAGAGAGATACATCTGCATGTTTTCTTCAACAACAGCAGATGATTCAGCATATTCCTAATTACCTTTTACTATTCATGTATATAAGATAATTTACTTGCATAATATATAATCAATTTGACATATTCTTAAAACTAGAGGGTGTGAGAAGCACAGCAATGGGAAGTCTCTCTACAGACTGGGGGACACGAGTGGGGTCATCACATGCCTGGACTGTCACTCTGGCTGCCACGTGAAGTGCTCGTGTTGATTGCCAGTTCAGCCAGTGGGTAGCTGATACGCCGGTGCCAGCACCCAGCGTGAGCAGCCGTCGGGGAGACTGGGAAGTCTGCGAAGTGACTGCTGCCGTCCCTTCTGTGAGGGCCACATCTGATTTTCTCGCGATCTGTTAGTGGACTGGAGATCTTCCAAGGAAGTGCTTTGCACGCTTTCTCTCTCTGCTCCTTTTTACAGTCTTTGTCTTTGCAGCAAGCAAATGAAATTAAGCCACTTTGGGATAATGAGCATTCAATATAATTCTACTTTGTCTCATTTTGAATCTCACTGTTGTGTTTATAAAAATGTAGTCACATTTTACAGAGTAGTTTATTCTTTTCATACTTTCTGGTGGAGAGTGCCTTGAAATAAAATGTGAGAATATTCTGGTACTCTGTGTTCCTGATGCATGAAGTTGGGTGAGGAATAACCCCTAGTCTGGAATCTTTGTGAAGCATAGGGTTATTGCAAGGCAAATGGGAACTAACAAATCTTGCCATTTGAATCAGGGTCTCCAGTTTCTAGAAAAGGCAGACACTGGTTGGGACCAAAGTCTCCATGGTGTGTGACTGAAGACTGGTGGTCGTGTGTGTGAGGAGTCCCCGGAAGCCTCGGGGAGGCGGAGCTGCTCTTTCCATTCCATCAGGATATGATCTGAAAACATGTAGAGAAGATGAGTTGAGGACAGCTTTTCTAAGGCAATGTGATGTCTTTGCTTTCATATTTCTATTTCTGTATGTTGTTAGTTTGGAAGAGTGGAGGAGCTAGGGGCTCCAGAAAGAATCTTACACATGTGTTGAAGACATCGATGTCTTAGGGAGCGTGGAGCTGCGTTCCCTTCTGGGCTATTACTGCTAAATCTGAGTGTGAACAGACCGGGCGGAAAGCATGGTGGCCAAGTGGTCTGTGTGCTTCCCCGCTGATGGAGAACGTTGCGTTGTTCACAATAGGGCCTCACGGGTGTGGACGCACAGCAGACCCATGGCTGGTGCAGCTGCCTGTTGCCATCTGTCTTCAGTAACTGCTGCTCTGTTGACTGTTCTATTCTGATACTATGCGTGTTATTTTTTATAACAGGTGTGTTTTTGTTTCAGAAATATGTATTGCTTTTCTCATATTCTTTGCAAATTGTATTGTCAACATTGGTCATTTAAAGTCCTGTATGAACCATAACCTGCTGTGGTACCTTTGTACATGTTTAATTCTGTATTCTTTATTCCAGCGTGGCATATGTGCCCCCCAGTATCTTCTGAGAAGTGCAGAATAGGTTGCTTCTACTGCCTGTTCTTAATGTAACAGTAAAAGTTTTCACATTTTTCTCAGAATTGTTATCTGGAAGCTCTCTTTTTTCCTAAGGATATTTTAATAACAAATACTAATGCATTTGTATTGAAAGTTGGTATCTTGGAATAGAAGGACAGAAGAAAACTCGCCTCATGGAACTGTAGTTGGCTTTCCTCCCGCTCTGACAGTGCGGCGCCTTTTAGTTTGTGAATCTGTACTTGTGTGTGTTTAATTTGAAACCTATCAGCTGCTGTCTAGACTGGGGCACTTAATGTTTCATAAACTAGTTTCCTTGGTGTGAAGGAAATAGAACTTTTGAGCTACCCATTGCATGATTTTAAACGGATTTGAATAGCCTAAGTAATTACTCTTTTTTTTTCTTGCTTAATTAAAATTTCCAAGCATATTAAAAACAGAGGGAATATGCCAGCACACCCCAGTATCCACCAGTCAGCCTGACACCTACCACTGCCTGCCTGAGCCCCAGGCGGGAGATAACCACAGGTGTCTGTTCCTGGGTGGCTACCATGCTTTCAGGTCCATGAGCGCTTTCATGAGTGGAAGGCAGTTTTAGGGTTCTTGGAAAGGACTCAGACGGACCACTTCAAGGGCCTGAGGTGAAATTCAGAAACTGCCTGTGCACAGAAGCTGAGCAGTGGGCATCATGGAGCGAGGCGTCAAGCACTTGGATGTTTGTTGGGTATCAGAGAACAGGGAAGGCCTCTCCTCACCTGCTGCTCCTCCCTGTGTGGCAGTGGCATGTCACAGTGTTCTGCCAGTCCGTTAGCCTCACGGGTCAGAAGGCAGCACGGTAGTTCTTGGTGGACGTGGGCGTCACCAGGAATGCTTTAGCGTGAGCTCCCACACCACAGTCTGGAGGCTCACACCATCCTTGCACACGTGACCTTCCTGTCTTGGATATTCTGCCTTATTTTGGAATGCCATCCTTGCCTGTAATTTTTCACTTCTGTAAAAGTAGAACGTGGGGTTTGAATGGGTCTTTGGTGTAACTAGCTATGGCAAGAATCTTCTAAGAGATGTGTTCCTTGGAGGTACAATGTCCTGAGCTTGTTTGCCTTTTCCAGAAGCCACAGAATGGCTTTGGAGAGAAACAGGCCAGTGCTACAGAGCCACCGGCACGAGGCACCTGGTGCGCAGGAGCTGAAATGCAGCCTGTGGTTAATTGGTAATAATCATGTCCCCGCGTCTGTGCGTTGGGGGCTGTTTCTCTCATTTCACACCCCGGTATCCACCAGTCAGCCTGGTGCATGTGTGTGGGGAATATTTAAAGGGAAGTGACATTCTGATTTGTCTGCAACATTTCAGTGTCGCCTAGTTGGAAGGCCAGGTTTACGGGTCCAGATTGTCCGTAGTACAGAAGACCATTTGTCAGGTGAAGCCCGTAGACCCATAGGCACAGCTATAACCAAAAGAATTCACAAAAGGAGTAACAACCGAAGGTGAGTGGGTTTCCTCCACAGGTTTTCCCACGTTTTTAAATGCAGGTCACGTTGCAGGCTCTTCCACCGGCTGTCCACCCAAACAAGGCAGTTGCTCACCCCACAGGCTCACTTTGGAGATGAAGAGTGCTGGGTGCAGCAGTGCCTCCTGTGTGGGTCTCTGTGTATTTGAGATGGAATTGATGAGCTTGGGAGCCAGGGAGAAGCGGTGGAGTTGCTGTTGCCTTGAGCTGCCCTGTCAGGCAGGGTCTCTGCCTGGCTGTGACTTCTGCTTCCTGGAGACACATCCGCAGGCGTTCCTCACACAGACGAGCTTTTCTCCCTCCTGTGGATCACGGTGTGTGACTGACAGCTTTGATAATTTTCCCAGCTGGCTTTGAAAGTGAAGCAGGCTGACCCGTCACCAAGGATTCTCTGCCACAGGGGGTCTTGGAGGATCGGGAAGAGGTGCTGGCGGTCACAGCAGCCCAGGGTTCATCCCTGCTCGTTTATAGATTTGTGTGCCCATCCAGTCCTCACTGGGCCCTCCAGTTTTAGAAATGTTGAACACTAGTGCTTGTAAGATTCGAACAGTGAGTTTACGGCGCTGAAAAAAATGAACTGCTCCAGAACCTTGAGGAATGATTCTCTGTATAGCACCCACATTGCACTGAGTCCATTTATCGTCATCGCAGAATTCATCTTTCTGGTTTCGAGCACCATCTTCTGGTTTTGAGCACACAGTTCCTTGTCTTATTCCAGTCTGCTGTCGACAGGATTAACTCAGCCCGAAAGGTGCCCCTACTTTTGAGGCAGTTCCTGCATGTGATGTCCAGTGCCGCGTTCTCCCCTCT